AGATGACTATTCAAAAATGTGATAAAGATTAATATTAAATAAGATCAATTTTTATTAGAAAAAAAGAGGTTTAACAAATAAAACAAGAATGAAGAGAACAGAATCATAAAAAATAATCCACAAGCAAGTTAGCAAAGGGGGGAAGGAACAAAGAACAGATGGAACAAATAGAAAACAAACAACAAGATGCTAGATTAAAATATAACCATATCAGTAGCAACAACGTAAGTAATCTATACACCCCAACTAAAAGGCAGAGACTGTCAGATGATTAAAAAAGTAAGACAACAGATTATGCTGTCTACAAAAAACTCACTTTCAACATAAAGATATAAACAGATAAAAGGTTAAAATAATGCAAAAAGACCATGCAAACACTAACCAAAAGAGAGCTGAGTGCCTTTATGAATATTACAACAGGACTATTACCAGAAATAAAGAGTCACTAGATAATGATCCAGGGGACAATTAACCAACAAGACATAAGAATCCTATATATATAATACATCTAACATTGGAGCTTCAAAATGCATGAAGCAAAAACTGATAGAAATCAGAAGAAAAACAGACAATTCCAGGATTACAATCAGATACGCTAACAGCCCTCACACAGCAATAAAAGAAGCAGAAAGAATTAGGAAGGACAAAGACGACCTAAACAACATTATAAACCAACTTGACCTAATTGATATTTATAGAGAACTCTAGTCAGCAAATAGCAGAATACAAATTCTTCTCAAGTACAGCTGACCACTGAAAAACATAGGTTGGAACCACACAGATTCATTTACATGTGGATTATTTTTCAAAAGTAAATACCATAGTAATACACAATCCCTGGTTGGTTGAATCCATGGATGTGAAACCGTGGATACAGAAGAATGTAGATACAAAGGGCTGGCTATAAGTCAGTCATGTGAATACATGAAATAGTCACCAAGAATATACTGGCTCATAAATCAAATCTTGATGATTTTTAAAAACTGAAATTATACAAAGCACATTCTCAATAATTTGAATTCACAATATAATTAAATTAAAACCAAGAATAGAAAGATATTTGGAAAATTTCCTACACTTCTAAGTAACTCAAAGAAAGTCAAATGAGAAATTATAAAATAATTTGAATAGAAAATGAAGAAACATCAAAAGTTGTAGGATAGGGAGGGAGGGGACATATGTATACCTATGGCTGATTCATGTTGATGTATGGCAAAAACCAATACAATACTGTAAAGCAATTATCCTTCAATTAAAAATAAATAAATTTTTTTAAAGTTGTGGGATAAATCAGTGTTTAAAGGGAAATTCATAGCATTCAAAATTTATAGTGCTACTACTCCAATAAACATGGCAAATTCCCAAATCTCACTAAACTTTCTATAGGAAGCATGATAAGCAAAACCCCCAAAATGACACAGTATAAGGGTAAATTCTGGCCTGTCCAGGGAAAGCAGTGTTACGACAGGAAGTATAGTGGCTATGGTGAGCAGGCTAAGTGGGTTTTCCAGCAAAAGGCTAAAATTACAAAGAAAATCATGCTAAGGCTTGAATGTGTTAAGCCCTATTATAGATCTAAAAGAATGCCAGTTATTAATAGATGCAGTATTATGAACTGGGAAGAGATAACAAGAGAAAAGTCCAGAGCATCCAGTTCTGGGCTTCACCTTTTGTTTTATTATAAAGGAAGTAAAATCTCGAGGTTATTTAACTTCAAAAAAACATTTATATTAAGAAGAGAAGAATGGTCTCAAATCAATGTTTTAACAAGAATTCACCTGAACAAACTAGAAAAAGGCAATATAAACCCAAAGCAAACAGAAGGACATAACAATATGAGCTGAAATCAATGAAATAAAAAAGAGAAAAATAAAATTAAACCAAAAGCTGTTTCTTTTTTTAAAAAAAAGACAACTGATGAACCTCTACTCAGCCTATCAAGAAAATGAAGGTACAAATTACCAAGACCAAGAATGAAAGGGGACATCATCAGGTCTACTAACATTATAAGAATAATATTATGAAATACGCCAATAAATTCACCAACATGGATGAAATGGATAAATTCCCTGGATAAAAACACAGCCCTGACATACTGTAGCAGACTGTGAGAACTCTAGTGTTTATCTGCCTAAGGAACTCCAGGTAAAGAAATCATAATGAGTAAGAAAAAGGAACCTTCCTTCAATGTTGGCAGGAACGTAAACTGGTACAGCCACTGTAAAAAAACAGTAAGGAGGTTCCTTGAACACCTAAAAATAAAGTTACCATTATTGGTGGTTAGTCGCTAGGTTGTATCCAACTCAAACTACAGCCCACCAGGCTCCTCTGTCCATGGAATTTCCCAGGCAAGAATACAGAAGTGGATTGCCATTTCATTTTCCAAGGTATCTTTCTGATCCAGGGATCAAACCCGCATCTCCTGCATTGGCGGGTGGATTCTTTACCACTGAGCCACCTAGACAGCCCTACAGTTACCATGTGATCCAGCAATCCCACTCCTGGGCATATATGCAGAGAAAACTCTAACTCAAAAAGATACATGCACCCCAATTTTCATAGCAGCACTTTTGCAACAGCCATGGAAGCAACCTAAATGTCCATCTACAAATGAATGGACAAAGAAGATATGTGTGTGTGCATGTGTGTAATGGGATATTACTCAGTCATAAAAAAGAATGAAATAAATGTCACTTGAAGCAACATGGATGGACCTAGAGATTATCATACTAAGTGAAATCAGACAAAAATATGATACCGCTTATATGTGGAATCTAAAAAGAAAATGATGCAAATGAACTCATTTATTAAATAGAAATAGGCTCATTATAGAAAACAAACGTATGGCTACCAAAGGGGAAAGGTGGGGAGGATAAATTAGGAGTTTGGGATTAACAGACACACACCACTACACATAAATTAGAGAAACAACAAGGACCCACTGTATAGCACAGGGAATCACATTCAATATCTTGTAATAACTGATGTAGTAGGAAAGAATCTGAAAAAGAATGTGTGTGTATGTATATGTGTGTAATATGTATATATATACATATTCTAAATCTGAATCATTCTGCTGTACTCCTGACACTAACACAATAGCATAAGTCAACTATACTTCAATTAAAAATGAGTAAGGACATGGAAGCACTGAACAAAATAGGTGTTTTTACTGGAGTAGAAAAACAGACTTGAGAGTAGCAGATGCTAAAGAAGGAGGAATCAGCAAGTACTAGATTAAAATCATAGATAAATTAAGAAGCCACTGCATAGTTTGGTGAGAGACCATGAGAGTCTGAACTACCAAGATAGTAGTAAGCATGAAGAGGAGATTAAAATTTGAGAAATAGGTAACCAGCAGACTCAGCAGAACTTGGTATTTGAGTAATTACAGGAAGGATGAAGGAAGAGAAGCAAAGAAAGGTAGTTACAGGTCAGCCTTGGGATCCAGGGACTACTTGAGCAAGGGCAGTAGGTGGCAGAGGAAGACCATGGTCCACATTTACAGATTTTATGTATGGGATGTCTATAGGAGGTCAAAGTTGGTAATGTTTAGCAAGTGTTTGGAGCAAATGGGAGAAGTCAGCAGTGAAATAACTTATTGCAATTGCCTAAGAGACTATAGAAAGAGAAGTGGCTCAAGGGCAGAACCCTGGATGAGAAAATAATCTGAAGTTGGAGAAAAAGTTTATGATTTTGGAATAAGGCAGTTCTAAGCAAGTGCAATCATACACAAACCTGTGAAATGACGTCTTATAATATCAAAAACTTAGAACAAACCTACGTATCAGAGAAAAACAGAATAGTTCATATGGAAAACATTAAAAATAATCTTTAGGAAGGTGTACAATAATTCAGATATTGCTTATGATAAAACATTAAATGTCTTCCTACCTTTAAAAAAATATGTATATATATATAATTAAAACACTGAAAATAGGCACAGCAAAACTAGGAAAAATACATCAAAATGTTAGCGTCAGGTGTTCTGAGTTTAGGAGCCCACGGGTCCTGCCATCCACCAATACTATTCTGTATCTTGCAAATTCGCTATATAATATTTATGCCAAGAGAAAGACAACCTGTCCCCCAAAAGAATAACCATGGTATTTCCCATCTCTAGTGTCGACCACCATCACGCCAGAGTTCCCGTGGAACGGTGCCCTCGGCCCATGGGGTCGGCTGGAGGCCTCAGGTGCAAAGCCCGCCTCCCTCTGCAGAGGGTCCTCAGGTGTAGTCTCCTCTCCAGTCAAGTTGCCCATTCCCGTCACGGGCCTTCCCCCTCGGGGTTTCACCGGCCCTTTCTCCTGGCCTGGCTGGGGGCACCAAGGCCTTTCCGGCAGCTCCTCATGAAACAAGTCCCAGCGGGCTGCGCACACCCCACACAGTGTGGATACTGGTCCTGCTGGGACAGGTGGCAACCACAGCAGAGCTTTTAGACCAGTCTTGGGCCCTGGAGCTCAACAAAGGCTCGCGGTTCCTTCCACTCCCCTTGCCACGTCACTAAATTGGTGTAGCATCCTGTGCCAGGCCTGTGGGAGGGTTGACATCTGGGTCGGGAACCCAAGGACTCACCTAGCGCTCACTAGACGACAGTCAGCATTACAGTGATGGCGATGAAGATGTTAAAGTTCAGGCAGAAAGGGCGGGTCCCGTGCTCAGGGCCTCTGGGGCCCTTCAAAGCCTTGGTAGGCCGCAACCTGAACCAAGGCCCCAACAGACTGAGGTGAAGCGACACCTGGTGGAGCGCCGCAGGAGCGGAGGTGGAAAAGTCTCTCAGACTGCCAGAAGGCCCTGTCACAATCTCTTTTGTGAGCAGAATGCCGAGCTCTGGCTTTGAGACCCAGGACCCTGAGAAGCAGTCGCTTCCTACAAAAGCTGGATATGCAGCAATGCAGGCCCCGCCCCCAGGCCTTGACCCCTGCCCTGGATGTGGCCCCGCCCCCAAGGGTCAAGCCCAGGGGGATGTGGGGGCGGGCGCAAAGTATCCTGGGAAGAGCCTCTACCCCAGAGGTTCGGCCCAACGCTTGCCAGTTAATTCCTCTAAACGGTTATTGACCGTTAGCTACGTGCGGTACTCCAGGCCAGTAGTGAGGGAGATAGAGAAGGTCCTGGTACTTAGGGGACCTAGACAGTAGCCCAAGATTACAAAAGAGAGTTGTGATGGAGAACGTGAGGTTGCTAATCTCGCCTTGGGAGGGTCAAGGAAGGCCTCCCAGAAAGACACCGAGCAAGAAGTAAGGAAAAAGGAAGGAAGAGTGGGATGCAACCGTTTTTGAAAATTTGGTGATGAAAAGGTCCCGTCCGGAGGCTTTATGGTTCCTTTCAGGAGTGGACCAAAGAACCAATCTGTTGAGGGTGTGGGAGGGGCAGGAGCTTGAGAAAAGTGAAGGAGGTTTGATACCGTTTATTGAGTAGATTGAAAAGAAGCTGAGTCAAGGACCAACGCTGTAAACACCACAAGGGGAGGGAACTTTGTTTTTCTTATTCGTGTGTCCCCAATGTTTGGAACAAGGACTAGAATACTTTTACCCAAAGACCCCTCTGGTTTCAACTGGATTTGGACAGTGCACAGTTGATATTTTTCACAAGTGACCTTCTTGCCCTTAGCCTTGTGTCCTGGGACAAAGCCACTGAAACAACTCATCCATTTTTTCCAAGTGACTTTGTGTTGAAGTCTATTATATCTAGGGCAAAAATCAGGGGTTTTGTTCACTAGGGTGTCGGCTAAATCTGGGAGGGTGCCTGGCTTGAAAGATCCCTTTTCCTGCCTCCTCTCCTTGATGCATTTAATCTTTGGTTCTCCTTAAGCTCCTCTCATCCTTTGGAGCTAAATTCTTTTTTTTTTTTTTTTTTTTCCTTGGGATCTGAAACTTACGAACACAGGGCTTCTACTGAGACCTAGGCTGCTCCAGAGCTTGGGAATTCCTTGAGTTTCTCTCTGTACTGTAATCTTTGAAAGGCTACCTAAAGTCATCTGCATTGACATATTCCTAAAGTGGAAACTCAGAGAAGATACCATCCTTCTTTGGTGAGCTCCTTCCCTCTAGAACTTTCCCCCAAGGACTGTGGCTAGGATTTAATGTGAGGGCAAGGTCTGGGGCTGACGAAGAGTGAAGAGTAAGAGATCCGTTAACTGCATTGGAACTGGGGGAGGAGGACATTAGCAATTGAATAAGCAGAGAAAGAGGCTGGTGAGGGACTGCTATCAAAGAATAGAAGGGTCGCCAGCAGGGACTCGCTGGGCAGCTACCTCTGAAGAGCTAGCTACATTTCTGCTGCAGAAGTTCCCAAGATTTTGGAATTTGGAGACTCCTGTGGACTATGCAGTTACTCCGGTGGGCCTTCACATCTCTAGAAGGGTTGGAGGGCTGTAAAGTAGTGCTCAACAGCAAGTGATACTAAAAAAGTTGCAGAAGAATTGAGTTGGTAGTTTGTTTTAGAATGTTTTAGAATGATCCCTTCTTTGTCCTCACAAATCTGGAAATCTACACTGTTTGTGATGTATCCCCAGGAGCTTCTGGACAGCATAGCTAAGGAAGGAGTGGCTGCTTGCTTCCACATGTCTGGTCACAGGCTCTCTTCAGAAACAGGACCCGCTGGCTGAAAGGGAAAAGCTCCTCCTGCTGGAAATCACAGTGTGAGAAGGTAGGGAAAAGCAAGCCCTTAACAGCTGCCCCCGGGGAGAAGGTTGAAATGGACAGTCGGTGCATAAGTGTTCTGCAATAGAAGCCAGACAAAGGGGATTTTCAGAAGATGAGCTCTCTGGGACAGTGTTCAGTAGGATTTAAATCAAGCCAAAGTGAGTCAGTATTAGAATCTGGCCATGGTGGGTAGAGACTGTACATGATGGTAGGGTGACAAGGCAAGTGAATCAGTGGAATTCATGGAGTTCATGGGATGTTGTGAGAGATGGGAGATTGAGATTCTGATAAAAGGGTAGGATCTTGCAAGAGGAGGGATCTGGTTAGAGAAGAAGATCTAATGTCTGAGGTGTTCTAGGGGAAAGAAGAAAAGATCAATGATGGAATGAAAGATGGCCCCTTACGATTGTAGCTCTGGAGGCAGAAAGGGATCTATCTGCAGGGTTGAGATTTAATATGGGGATCTGGGAGGGCAGAGTGGAGGCAGAGAGGACCTTGGTGGAAAAGATAAGAAAGCTGGTAATGGGGCAGAATAAGGATAAATGAAATACTAGGAGAGCTCGAGGCAAGGAGGACTCCTGGACAGTGGGGAGAAGGCCATAATGGGAGTGGGAAAAAAGGTGAGTGAGAACGTGGGAGCTGATGACAGAGCCTCTGGTGGCAGAGAGGAGGCCAGTGAAAGGAATGATGAAGGAATGGGACCAATTGTGAAGAGCAGGGCACAATGAGAAGAAAACAGATTATGCAGGAGCAGAGTCAGATACAGGGTCCTGGGAAGAAAGGCTGATAAATATCCCAGAAGGGAAATGACATAGCCAGGGTGGGTGGTAATTGATCTTCTGAAAGTTCTGGTGAAAGAATAGAGGCCAGAGTTTTAAGAAAGCTCAAGGAGAAGAGCTATTGGAACAGAAGGGGACACACAGGGAGCAGAATCTTTTCACAGGATTCCCCTAAGCAAAAGGTCAGACACCACAGTGATGCTCTCCCAACCCTCCCTACACACAGCTTGACCCAGAAATTACCAAAACTGCAAAAGGCTATGAGCTGCAGCCAGGAGCAGAGTCAGAACAAGAGGGTCTGGCAAGAATAAGGGCACCTGAAGCAGGCTACCCACCTGCTTCCCACTCCCTCACATCTGAGACTTCATTATACTCCTTTGTACCTCACCCCAAGGCTTGCTTTCTCATTCCGTTCTCTATTGGTTCCTCCTTCAGGAGCAACCCCAGGTTGCACTGGGGCCCTAAAATTATGTAGTGCATGCTAGGAAGTGAGAAACAGGAGAGAAGGAAAGAGATTAATCACTTCCAGAAAAGGTCTCATGCCACCACAGCTTCTTTCTGGCAAGTTCCAAAGGCCAGTATAACAAGAGACTGGGTTACATGCTGAAAAAGTAAAAATTAGTTTGACCTGAAAAAAATGAAAATCTGCCATGCCATTCATCAAGCTGGGTAAACAGACACAGATCACACATAAAGCCAGCTGTAAAATTAGCAAAAAAAATTCTATTTCTCCCAAGGAAACACACCAGCTATAAAGTGTCTAAATGACACTCAGTAGCAGAACTATTACTTGGTAACTGAGAAACCTTGTTTTCTAAAATCATAGTTCATTGGAAACTTTGCTTTTGAAATCATTTCAGTAAGAATAAAGCATCCTTTCCTGAAGGATCTAATTCACACTGACACAGAACACCTGCCTTGATTTTCAACCCAGATTCAGATAACGGTGTTTGGGATATAACCTTACATATCTATCTTCATTTGTAGTGCCTAAGGAAAGGAGACCTACTGTCCACTTTGCCGTTCAGATGTGATGTTGCTGATTTACACAAAGCCCTGCTTTGCTTTAGCATATCAAAACACTATTTCATATAAATTTCACTTTATGCCACTCTTCCCCAACTCATATAACTTTTTCCCTTTCTTGGTGACACACCCCATGGTTCCTATAATGTGTGACCTCCATTGCAATGAGCCACTAACCCTGATTTTGTCAGACTTTGCTCCAGGTGTCCTGATTAGGAAATTTGGAGAGTCTCTGAATATTTGCTCCGATCCCTCCCTACAAAGGATTGGCCTCCATGACAGTAACAATGTGCACATCTGAAACTTCTCGAGTCTCAAGATATTCAAGGTTTGTCTTTGATTGTGCGGCTTTGCACCGAATTTAGATTCTGGTTGTCTCTTTGATCCTTCAATATACGTTTATTTGTCCCCTGGAATTTTTGGTTTCCCATCAAACTAGTGTCCCTTGGTGAAATTGGGTTTTTAACACCCTGCCCTGCCTAGTGTTTATCTCAGTTCAGTAACGCAGTCGTGTCCGACTCTTTGCGACCCCATGGACTGCAGCACACTGGGCTTCCCTGTCCATCACCAACTCCTGGAGTTTGCTCAAACTCCTGAGCATAGAGTCAGTGATGCCATCCAACCATCTCATCCTCTGTCGTCCCCTTCCCCTCCCACCTTCAATCTTTCCCAGCATCAGGGTCTTCTCAAATGAGTCAGCTCTCAGAGGCTCTTCAATTCCTCTTTGCTTTCTGCCATAAGGGTGGTGTCATCTGCATATCTGAGGTTATTGATATTTCTCCCAGCAGTCTTGATTCCAGCTTGTGCTTCATCCAGCCCAGCATTTTGCATGATGTACTCTGCATATAATAAGTTAAATAAGCAAGGTGACAGTGTACAGCCTTGACATACTCCTTTCCCAATTTGGAACCAGTCTGTTGTTCCCATGTCTGGTTCTAATTATTGCTTCTTGACCTGCATACAGATTTCTCAGGAGGCAGGTCAGATGGTCTGGTATTCCCATCTCTTTAAGAATTTTCCACAGCTTATTGTGATCCACACAGTCAAAGGCTTTGGCAAAGTCAATAAAGCAGAAGCAGATGTTTTTCTGGAACTCTATTGCTTTTTTGATGATACAATGGATGTTGGCGATTTGAACTTTGGTTCTTCTGAGCTGGATGTTCAAATCCAGCTTGAACATCTGGAAGTTCATGGTTCACGTTCTGTTGAAGCCTAGCTTGGAGAATTTTGAGCAGTACTTTGCTAGTATGTGAGATGAGTGCAATTGTGTAGTAGTTTGAACATTCTTTGGCATTGCCTTTCTTTGGGATTGGGATGAAAACTGACCTTTTTCAGTCCTGTGGCCACTACTGAGTTTTCCAAATTTGCTGGCATATTGAGTGCAGCACTTCCACAGCATCATCTTTTAGGATTTGAAAGAGTTCAACTGGAATGCCAGCACCTCCACTAGCTTTGTTGGTAGTGATGCTTCCCTAAGGCCCACTTGACTTCACATTCCAGGATGTCTGGAAGTTTATCCACTGTCTTCTATTTGTCTCCGAGAACTTTCCTGTCTTCTTTGGGTATGAGAACTTGGTTTTAGGAAAGAGCTATCCACACTTCCTGAGAGCCAGGTGACTGCTGATTGTTCAGGTCAGCAAGGAGAGACAGCTTAACCTTAGGGTTGAGGACTCAGCACAAGTGATGTTTTACCTTTGATCAACAGTCAAGCAATCTCTCATGGGCTTGTCTGCTAACAAGCTTGTGCTACTTCCTGGCATAATTCACTGAGGATAAATTAAAATTATGTAGCCACCTGGGGATCTTTGACATGAACAAGAATGTTCGTTTGAGAAATGCTTTTGGCATAAAGGGAAAAGAAACTCTCATGAGACTGTATAGCTGGTCTGTCTGAGAGATCACTGTGATTAATGTAGAGATTTCCCCTCTGTTTCGTTCTTTAGGGATTAATAAGCACTAGTTTTTAATTGTATCGCTTGATAATACTGTCAAGGACTTGAGTAACTATTTAAAGCAGCTCTAATGACTTTCTTGTTTGTGTCTCTCTGTATATGAAAAAGGTTTTCCGGCATCTAAACTTTCTCCTCCTCCTTACAGAAAGATAACCTCTTAGTGATAATTTAATATTTGTCTAAAGCTACTCTCTCTCTCACTTTTTGTTGTTGTTATTGTTCTATCCTTGTCTTTTCCCTCACTGGGGACATTTTTTAAAGATTAATTGCTCAGGAAAAAAAAAACATTGTCACTATTTTGCATACTAAATAATAATAATTATCTAAGAAGTAAGAAAAATACCAGTAAATTGTCTTGCATTATATAATATAGACAAATGTATTTAAAGAATGGGCTTCATTACTACAGCTATGAGGGATGAGACCTTCAATATAAGAGCTTTTTTTTAGATTTTAAGGCTATTTAAATTTTGTCTCATGAATACAAAGTTTATAAAGTACATTTTTAAAATATCCTATAATATTTCTGATAAATCAATTGGGACAAATCAAAATGAGTTAATCATATTGATTGGGCTTCCCTGATAGCTCAGTTGGTAAAGAATCTGCCTGCAATGCAGGAGACCCAGGTTCAATTCCTGGGTCAGGAAGATCCCCTGGAGAAGAGATAGGTTGCCCACTCCAGTATTCTTGGGCTTCCCTTGTGGCTCAGCTGATAAGGAATCTGCCTGCAATGCGGGAGACTTGGGTTCAGTCCCTTGGTTGGGAAGATTCCCTGGAGAAGGGAAAGGCTCCCCACTCCAGTATTCTAGCCTGGAGAATTCCATGGACTGAATAGTCCATGGGGTCACAAAGAGTCGGACATGACTGAGCGACCTTCACTTTCACTTTCAATCATATTGATTAGAGACAACCCTCTATCTATATTGCTCTGGCTTTATTATATAAAATTAATGCTAAGACAATATTGTAGTATATATGACTAGTATTAAAACTTTTAAGACTTAAACTTTCTAAATTTTATGTATTGGTTTTATGGGGCAAGCAAAGAATCATTGTTAAAACATTTTAAGATTATAAAATATAAAATTGTTTTTAAGTAAAATCATAGGATAGATGTCTTACAAAGGGTTTAGATTTTATAAAATTCTTAAAATACTACAAATCATAAGGACTTAATTTTTTAGCTAAAATTGTAACTTCCAAATAGTTAAAAAGTTAAGACTTTAGAAAATGTTGAGTTACTTGATATGTAATATTTGAATACCTGAACAGTTTCTAAGCTTAAAAAAAACCCATATACACATAGTTTTAATTTATCCATATTCATATGTATTATATAAGGGCTATAGATTAATAGAGTGTGTAAGTGTGTTTGGTTGATGTGTTCGTTCTGTCTTCTGAAAATGTAAAAGGTCATCTAAAATGTGTACCCATAGAAATTTAGTTTAGCAGTTTAGTTTTCCCTGTGTCTAAAGAAAACAAAAATTGGTTACTTTGGCTAAATGTGGTAATCAATAAAATTATAAAAACTGTATTTAGTATCATAATTATAGAAAATGAGAATGTTTATAAGACAATGGTTTATTAAGGAATTATTTATTAAATAATTCAGTGTAATATATACACTTGTTTTAATGTGCTGAGATAAGGTATGTCTTAAAAACTAAAATTGTGTGTGTATTATATATTTATGTTTACATATACATATAAGGCATTTAATATGCTTTAATTCTATAAATGACAAAAAGGAAAATTCAAGGGTATATTTGATGTTAATAGATTTATTCACAGAAAAAGGCTTATAAATCTTTTATTGCAAATTTTAATATACACAAAAAGAGTAATAGTAGGGTTTTCTTTCCATAAAATGAACAAGTTATTTTGTGCCTATTTAAGAGTTTTCTTTTGATTTACTAAAGTATCCTGATAACTCTCTGTCCTCCTGTCATTCTCTTGAATAATAATACAAATTTCTTTATTTTTTTTAAGTTACTAGATCAGATATCAGAGGAAGACTGTGGTTGAGCTTCAGTGAGGACCTTACCAGGTACTGTTAACAACTAACACAAAAGTAATTCCAAGTCAACAGACACAGGATACAAAGTGCTTGAAAGTCTGTCCTAAAATCTCAGAGGAATCGGAGGAATCATCCCAAAGCAGATAACTGCAGGAAGTGTCGCCTCCCAGAGACCCACCAGATGAGATCCCCAGAGCCGCAAATTGCCTTTTGCTCTTTTTCTTTGAGCTTTCCTCTCTGCCAAGTTAAGGTTTAAATTGTTGACACTGCTTATCTATGAGCTATGGTACTTTGAAGGTCTTTATCCTTGATACTGTTTTCTTTATTTTTCCTCCCAATTGCTCACTTCTTGGTATGAGTCCAATGCCAGGCTACAGTTTGCTCATGGTTTGGCGACAGTACGCAATGACCCTGTCTGCTGGGTTTGTACTCACTTTCTTCGGGTGCCACCCAGCTTCCTTTGCTATCAGTTTCTTGGAATTAATCCACTCATTTCCTTCCTTGGTGGGTAAGACTCAACCAGGAGGTGGGCAGGGGAGGAAAAGTAGTGTAAGAGGCCAAACAACCAGAATTTTGAAACCCCCTGTTACGTCATAAATAGAAAGCAAGGTTTCAGCCCTAAATAAAACAATGCTCCTGAAAACTTTTGTGAAAATTTAGCTATTCCAAACAAATTTTCACAAAAGTCAGTAATGGAAGATGAAAGGAGTGATAAGGGGGTACTTTGAGAAAACAGAAAACAGGGAATTCCCTGACGGTTGAGTGGTCACTGCCAGGGGCCGGGATTCAGTCTGTGGTTGGGGAACTAAGAGCCGCAAACCACACAGAGCAGCAAAAGAGGGAAAAAAAGCAAACAGAACACAATGAGAGGAAATGAGACAGTGACGAGTTCCGTGAGGGAAGATGGGCCCCACAGGGTACTCAGTCAAAAGAGAAAAGAGAGGTAACTGTGCCTCTGGCGAGGCCCCAAAGAAGGTAGAAGGCAGTGCCATAGAGTCTGTAAATGGTCTGGAACTTGGACCTCTGTGGAATCCAGTGAGAAGGTAGAAACCAGAGGTACACGGGATGAGAGAGGCCTGGTTGCAGGTTTTCTGAGGCTCACTGAGAGGCTGCAGGTGGAGACTGAGCTGACCTCGCTCAGAGGAACGGTGGGAGGCCCAGGACACTGAGGCCGCATCATCTCCCACAGGCTCCCAAGACAGTAGAATGTCAGCTTCCGTGGCCTCGCCTCCCTACTCACAGTGAGGATCTTAATAAAAATGCTTGTCACAAACTGCCTCTAGCAGAGAACTTGTCCAAGTGGCTGCAGACGACAAGCTAAAATCTAGAAGGCTGGGATGGGGGCCTCACCGAGCCAGAAGCACACTCCATTCCCCCACATCCCAGACTTCACAATGCTTGTCTGAGTCCTCACACCAAGGCTTTCTTTTACATTCCCTTCTCTGTAGGTTTCCCCTCCAATATGAACCCCAGGTGCACTGAGCTCCGGACTGCAGGAGTCAGGAAGGGGGATACAGGAAACAGGGGAGAGACGAATCTGTTCACCAGGAAACCTTATTCTGTGCTCCAGTAGATCCTTTTCAGTCAGCCTCTCTAGTCTGAGAATCCAAAAGCCTGGGTTACTTGTGGTGAAGAGGAGAACAAAGTGTTATTTTAGGAGGCTGAGTGGAATGATGCTTTGTGGCAGAGACATTTTGGAGACTATGACTTTGGAAACACCAAATTTAGTATATAAAATTGTCCATGACAATAATAGTAAGGGCTTTCACAGACATTATCTCATGTAATCCTCACAACAACCCTGTGAGGTATGGAGGCCAGGAATTACCTCTGAGGAGGAACCTGAATTTTGGGGAAGTTAAATAGCTTGTCCAAAATCAGGATCAAGGAGCTCTGCCTCGTAAACCAATGGTGGTTCCAGTGTATCTCCCACCACCACCAGTGGGCAAAACTCATGGTCCAGTTCCATCATTCTTTCACTATGCTTCCTAATAGAGACTTGCTCTAAGAACTGACATGCTCAGAGTTTGTGGACCTGGGCCTTCATGGGAAGGTGAGATTAACACCTCTAGGTAGCCCAGAGTTGACTAGACAAAATCTTACCTTTTAATGCTACACCTTTGTTCCTCTTTTTGACTCTGCACTAAAGTTGAGAGACTAAAGTGAGTGACTACGACTGAATTTTCACTTTCTTCTCCCTAGGCAAGCCATAGACATTTATTCATGGATAATCTGATTTTCCATATCAAGTTACTAAAGCTCCATGATCCATCTCTGTTAGTCACTTTAAAGTGGATAAAAATATTTTCTAGTTTTCCTTTGAAATTTTCATGAAGGGTTTTCTGTATGTCATGTTCAATTGATTTTTTCAGTCCTTGTCCTTTGCAGATGAAGGCCACTAGTTTCCAAAACTGCAGGTGCATATATATTCCTTCACATGGGACTTGCCCCTGCTCACAGAGGCTCAGCATCTGATTCAAGGCTTTCAAAGGCTCAGAGGACTGCTCTCCATAGCAACCCTAACACAAAGGGAAGCCTTGGCCCGGAGACACCTCAGATGGAACAAAACAGGTGAACAAAAGTTGAAGGACCCTGTCCTCCTGCAGGAATCCTGAACTCAATAGTCCAGTCCATGGTCAGTGACTCACTCACTGTGGTCAGGATTCTACCATGGATCCCTCTACCACCCCCCAGAAGGTCTGTGAGCTTCAAGTCCTCCCCTGTCCCCCATATTCTAATCTTCCCTGAGAGTCTCCATCTTAGGTGTTTCTCTGTCCCAACATAATTGATTTGGAAAAGGAGGAAAAGGTTAATCTCTGCTGGTGGCTGGCCCTAGGATTCCTTTGTCAAATTAATGTGTCTGTTTTCCTATGTGTTAGTAAACTTCATTTCTCTAAATGGTAGAGAAATGGAAAACTGGGTACCATGCTATACAGAAAGTATGAAACGGAACTAGAACCCCAAGCCTCACTGAGATGCATCTGAAAGCAGAGTTTATCTGAAGTGCACCTCAACCTCAGACAGCTGAGGAGCTGTGGAATAGTGACAGTGTTCTTGAGGGTGGAGAGGGCCCTTAAAGAGGAAGGTGAACTCACAGTTCCTCTTCACAGCAGCCAGCCTGGTAGCTCCCTCCAGCCTTCCCTGGGTCTTCTAGATCCTTCCATCTTTCCATATCATAGATACACTGTAGCATTATTTTCTATTTATTCCTCCTCCAACACTCACTGTGTTGTCCATTACCTCCTTGGTCACCTGAGCTTTAATCTTACCAATTATATAACCTTTGAAAACCTGAAGTTCTCCCAGGAATTTTTGCTAATTCCCAGAGATTTGCATTCTCAGGATTTCCTCTGTTCTCAGGTTCAGCTTCCTACCTCCCAGGCCAGACACAAGACACAACTCCACATTCACTCATGAGAGTCCTCTTTCACATAAAAGCATTAGTGAGCAATGTAGTTTTTACAAAAGATATTGTGAGGGTGATGAATAAGGCTATGTATGGGCAGACTTCACTCCTGGCAAACAGCTTTAAGATTCCTGACTGCTAGACGAATGGATGATGAAGCTGTGGTACATATACACCATGGAATATTACTCAGCCATTAAAAAGAATTCATTTGAATCAGTTCTAATGAGATNAAAAAAAAAAAAAAACATGAGTTCATATTAATATGTACAATTCAAATTTAACACCAAGTTTTTACTTTGTATCTCATTTCTCTCACAATGAAAACTTTGGATCTTAGTAACATTAATGTTATTTGTTCTATTCATATATATATATGTGTGTGTGTATGTATATATATATATATATATGTAATATTAAACTTATAGTACAAATATTACCTCTGATAATAAAATTGAGTGAAGTTTCAAGTTATTTGCAATTTTTTTTTCCTTAGAATATACCCTACCAAGAAGATAAACCAGAAGAGCATGTTCCAAAGTCACTTGAAATAATTCTTATCTCTATGTGGGAATATAACCAATTTGATAAAGAGTTAAGGTTATTGGTTTCAATTTATTCTCAATTTTAGGATTGGCTTTACTTTCCCTGTATTGTTTTTCAAAAACTAAAACATTTACATGGATCTAAGTCAAAAATAAATTATACTCAGAGACGTCTCACTCCCAGCTCTTTCATTTGATTCAAAACTAGATTTTATTTCTTCTCTCAAGATGTAGAAGGAATGTGAGAAGCAGGAAAGGATAGGAACTTTGTAGAAAGAAACTGTAGTCTAAATCGACTTGCTGTTTGAGGTTGGGGTTTGGGCATTTCCTACTTTTTAAGACTTGATTTTTTTACATGAAAATGAGAACAAAATAACCATCTCCTAGAACTATCCTGCAGATTAAATTAGATAATATCTGTGAATTGCACAGTCTGTATCAAGTACTCAAAACATGACAGATATTCAGTATATTTTATCTGAAAAGCTTAATAAAACTTAGAAATGTTAGACCAGCTTGTCACCCAATTTTGGTGTCCTTTTAAAAATATTTTTCCATAATGTAGAAATAATGTTGTATGATAATACTCAGAACAGAATTCAGAAGATCTTTATCTCCTGTAGCCTATATCTAAAGAGCTATAAAAGGAACTTTAGAACCCAAAATACTAGATTTGTTTGGATGGCAGTAGTGAGGTAGACTACCGAGAAAGATATAATAAGGAAGGATACTCAAAAGAGATATGTTACAGACTGAATGTTTGTGTCCCCCCAAAATTCTTTGTTGAAACTGTCCCACAATGTGAACATGTTAGGCGATGGAGCCTTTAGGAGGGGATTAGGATTAGATGAGGTCATGAGCATGGAGCCTTTGTGAATGGCATTAGAGCCCTCTTTCGAGTCACTAGAAAGCTTGCTTCCTATCTCTCTCTTCTGCCATGTGAAGACAGCGAGAAGATGGCTAGGAAACAGGTTCTCAACAGACACCAAGTCTGCTGGCAACTTGATCTTGGACTTCACAGCCTCTAGAACTGTGAGAAATAAATGTTTGTTGTCTAAACCACCCAGTCTATGGTATTTTTGTTATAGCAGCCCCAACAGACTAACAAACATCAGTTATAGAACTAAATGAAAGTGGGATAAAGCCCTTGTTGCCATTTCATCACTCAGTCATGTCCAGCTCTTTGCCATCTCATGGACTGTAGCCCACCAGGTTCATCTGTCCATGGGATTCTCCAGGCAAGAATACTGGAGTGGGTTGCCATTTCCTTCTCCAAGGGATCGTCCCAACCCATGGATAGAACCCGAGTCTCCTGCTTGGCAGTCATCTCCCTTTTGGCAGGCAGATTCTTTTGCCACTGAGTCACCTGAGAAGCCTGATAAAGTCCTTAGCAAACTCTGAGTTCAAAAATGAAACTACTTACTATATTATCTGTAAAACATGCCTAAAACAGAGACTTAAGGGTAGAAAGGCCAAGAGAATTCACTGATAAATAAAGTAGCTAAGTGAAAAAGCAAGTACACAAAAATCAAGTTTCTAAAATTTTACCTAGGGACTTAAGATTGGAGAGGGAATTTGTGGTAGGAGAGTAAGGTACTGTTTTTTAGAACTGAAGCATTCTAATAAAAGGTATCAGTTTTCCCTAAATCTATAAATCATTGCAGCTTTACCAGTTTGGGGCAATTGTCTAACATGGGAGGAAAGCTCATAATCCTATAAGCATATCTTTTTAAAAATACCATAAAAAGCTCTAGAAGATTATCATCTTGGAGTAGGAAATGCATTTGTATATTTTAAAGCTATTTTCAAAGTATAATAGAGCATGCTTTTAATAATTCAAGCAGCACATAAATATATAAATCACAAAATGTAAACACTCTTTCCATCCCTCTCTACTCCCACTGCCTAAAATGGTGAGGTAAGCACAGTTAACAATTTGATGTGTATGGAAAGGCACACCTCACTGCCTGCATTTAGTCCCAGAGCCACACCACACTTAGCGGCAAAGGAGGCTGGTAAATACAGTCTGCAACTGAGCAGCCGTGTGTCCCGCTAAAAATCCAATCGAAGGAGAGTGTTTTGTTAAAACAACCTATTATTCTCTGCCATGGCCTTCTTCCTACTCTACCCATCTTCAACAGGAAGGCTTGGCTTTTTCTTGATCTGGCTGTGAACCTTTGCCATTTGCTAAATTTGGCCTTGGTTGGGGGAAGTCTCCTTAATGCCATCACATCTCCTGGTGACATATAGCTGGCCATGTGAGCTCCCTGACAGTGATGGAAAAGCTGGGGCCTGAAGATGGTGTCTGGGAACTCAGGCTAGAGCTCCAAACCCATTGTGTTCTGAAGATATGGTTTTGATGTGTGGAGTCTTTTCCCCCAGTATTGTGAAAGACCCTGGAGAAGGAAATGGCAGCCCACTCCAGTATTCTTGCCTGGAAAATCCCATGGACCACGGAGACTGGTAGGCTATCGTCCATGGGGTTGCAAAGAGTCGGACATGACTGAGCGACTTCATTGTGAAAGAAACTGGGTTGGCTGTTACTGGAGGTAACTCATTCTTGCTCTCCATAGAGGGAGCATGGTCACATTTCTGCAAGAGTGCACTCCTGCCAGGTTACTTGCACCTGCAGACAAGTCTGTTCCTCTTTAAGTGATTCTTTAAGGATTAAAAAGTGGTGCAAAGACTTTGGACAGGCCAAGCTGCACACAGCTGCGCCAGAAGCTCCAATGCTGCGGAGAGAGTACAGGACAAGACCCTGGGGAATCTCACAATGGTCCCAGCTCCTCTGTTCACCAGTGATGTGATCCTTGGCAAGCTGCTTCCCAACCCAGAGCCTCTGTTTTCTCATCCAAAAAGAAGCTGGAGCAGATCATTTCTGTTTCATTTCCCCAGTTGTCCATGACCTTTTCCTATCTATTTCTTGTTGGGAACACTTCAGCAGTAAACTTAGGGGAAAGGCAAATCTTTCCTTCTCATCTGTTTCTCATGTGTCCATTACCAGACGTGGAAGAACCCGAGGTCTTCAAAATGGCTCACCCCTGTGCACCTCCTGGAGACCAGGAGCCTGGGCTGACGTTTTGGGTCAGTCTCAAACAGGTGTCAAATGGATTTTAACATGGTGTTCACTATTGGTTCCCACAATCAAGTCTACAGGGAGACTGGGGTAGGCAGCAAACACGGATAGGAATAAAAAATGTATGTAATGGTTAGAGCAGTATTTTCGCTTTAAGACTCTATAGACATACCCAGGGCATGACACATCCTGAAACTAAGTCTTTGGTTTTTAGGGGTGAAAGTGACAAAAAACACAGATCTCCATAAAACCTACTACAGGATGAGTAAAGAAAGAATGAAATGTCAATGACATCACCTTTTCAGGCTCTTAAACTATGTTGCCAAAGTTCTAATGTTTTCTCCTCTTCTTAAAAATAAATTTCATCTTCATAGCACAGCATATTAAAAAGCAGAGACATTACTTTGCTGACAAAGGTCCATCTAGTCAACATGTGTTGGATGGAACAACACATATTGTGTTATATATTGACCAGAACATTTATATTGCATTTTACACTTTATAAAACACTCAGCTACATTTTCTCTTTTATCTTCAACAAAGCACTGGGAAGTGTAAGGACAGGTAGTTGCTGTTTTCCAAATGAAGAGCCTGAGGTTAAACAGCTTTCCTAAGGCCACATGGCTAGTGTGAGTTGATCTGGACAACTCTGAAACTCTCCACAGCCTCTATGTTGATGCCTCATGCTCCACACGTATGTGTGTGTATGTGTTTGGTTATATCCAACTCTTTGAGACCCCATGGATTGTAGCCCACCAGGCTCCTCTGTCCATGGGATTTTCCAGGCAAGAAATACTGGAGTGGGTTGCCATTTCCTACTCCAGGGGATCTTCCTGACCCAGGGATGGAATCTGTGTCTCCTATGTCTCTTGTGTTGGCAGGCAGATTCTTTACTACTGCACTACCTGATTCTTAAATGTGGCTTCACATTAGAACTACTTGGAAATTTTAAAAATAAATATTAGTAACTTGTCCCACCCCCAGAGAGTTTCACTTAACCACTCTAAAATGTGGTCTGGGCATTAGTATTATTTTTCACATTTCTCCATTTTCAGTTAAACTTTGATTGTGAGATAACAGTAGATTCATGGACAGTTGTGAGAAATAATACAGAGATCCCATTTGCCCCCATTAGTAACATATTGCAAAACTATAGTATAATATCACAGCCATGACACTAACATTTATACAGTCAAGATGCAGAACAGTTTCACCATCATAAGGAGCTCTTGAACTTTCCTTTTATAGGTACACCCAGCTCCCCTTACCTACCTATCCCTAACCCATGGGAACCATTAATCTGTTCTCCATTTCTATAATTTTTATCATTTCAAGAATGTTATATAAGCGGAATCTTGTAGTATGTGACCTTTTAGGATTGCATTTTTTTTTTCACTCAATACTACAATACTTTGGCCACCTGATGCAAAGAGCTGACTCATTTGAAAAGACCCTGATGCTGGGAAAGATTGAGGGCAGGAGGAGAAGGAGACGACAGAAGATAAGATGGTTGGATGGCATCACCGACTCAACGGACATGGGTTTGGGTAAACTCTGGGAGTTTGTGATGGACAGGGAGGCCTGGCGTGCTGCGGTTCATGGGT